CTTTACATGTTGCTTGTCCTTTTGCTTTTCATTCATTGTTGGATACTACCTTCTTAGATGAGACAGTCTTTCAAAGATGCAGTGTGGGCACTTCTTCCATTATGTCGAACTTGAAGTCGCGCTTCCAATCTACCCCTCGGTGGCCTTCCAGGTATGGCTGGGGATGTCAGTGGAGTGCATCTTTACCCGTAGCAAGGATTCTGCCCAAACCCAGCAAGGACTTCCTCAAAGCAAGACCGATCATTGGATGCGATCATTGTTGGCATTCTCGTTTGACTACCTTTTTGGCCAAGGCGATCTTTCAGATCATGTTGATTGTTTTCCCGACTGGTTCCACCTTTAATGTTTTGTCGGTTCAACAAGCAGTTCGCATGATGTGGCATTCGATGATGGGGCATTCGGCAGATGAACACACCATCATGAAGCAACAGGACCTGGTGGGCTTCTTCAATTCAGTACCACATGATCGCATTCTGCAATCTTTGCTTTTCGTTCTGCAGCTTCTAGAAGATCGTTGGCATAAACCGTGGCAACAGCAATCCTTGCAGGTTTCTGTTCGCAGCAAGGATCCCAACTTTCGAGTCTTTCGTGGACGCCGCAGGTTTGCCGCGAGGAACACGAAGACGCTTCCCTTGGAGGACCTGCCTGAGTTAGTTGGGTTTCTACTGCGGTCCAGTTTCTTTCAATGTGGCATCCACACCTTCAAGCAGATTCAAGGAGCCAGCATGGGATCGGCACTTGCACCAGTGTTATGCACTCTGGTTGCTTCGACCACGGAATTTCTGTGGCTTCGGAATTTTCGCACCATTCTGAACAACATTGGTTTCCAGACTGCCGCTCGATATGCGGACAACCGTGTCTTTCATTTACATGCAGGCATTCAAAGAAACCCATGGCTTCAACTACTTTTTCATCTTGAATTTTACGGCTCACCCATCATGCTGGAGGACGTGTTGACTGAGACCTTTTTAGGTACCACATGTTCCAACGTGCAGGGCACCATCACGGTGGTACAACCCACCGATGCTTCAACCATTCGCACGTTGCAGTCAGTTGGAAGGAAAGAACATGTTCTTTCTGGTTTCTCAGCTAGGGTTCGCACGATCATTAGACTTTCACGACCGATGCGCTTGATTCGGCCACAGGTGGAGGACTTAATTGAAATCTACCGGGCCCAAGGCTTCTCACAGAGCGTTCTTTCACCGATTGCACACCACCTTTTAAAGTCTGTCGGCATCCGATTCACATAAAAAGGACAGGACTTTTGGTCAGCCGCAGTAGAGCCGATGTATCAGATGAAATGCGCGCTGTTCTCTCTCTCTTCTTTCTCTCTCTCTCTCTCTCTCTCTCTCTCTCTCTCTCTCTCTCTCTCTCTCTCTCTCTCTCTCTCTCTCTCTCTCTCTCTCTCTCTCTCTCTCTCTCTCTCTCTCTCTCTCTCTTTCCCTTCTCCTCTCCTTTACACGCTTCGGTCGCAAGAGTTTCAGTGAACGCACATACTTGTTGCAGAGTTCACGGCTGCAGGATTAGAATTTTCGTACATTAAAGCCATGAAAAGGACAGCCGCCGATGCGGGCTTTCCGCGTGAACCGCAAGCTGTCAGAGTTACAGTTCAGATGCCAGCTGATCGATGTACCAGAAACCAGGCGATGATCGTTCATTTGGTGTGCTGCAGTGTGGACAATATTGATGCAGTCAAGAAACTTCTCACATATAGGATCAAAGAGATGACAGGACGTCGTCCCCAGCTGCAGTGTTTCCAATTACATCAAAACGGGAGGCATTTCTCTTTCCTTGAACCGATCACTGCATTGGCTACATTGGACGTGGTTCAATTCGTGAGGACCGCTCCAGATTTCAGGGATTCCGATGATGTACAGAACCACCCAACTCGGTGGAATCCACAGGTATGGTGACTGATTCATCCTGTATAAAAGGTACGTGTCAGGACTGTGGTCGTTGCACTGTTGGCTTCTTGAACGTTCCTTGTGCATTTCTGTCGACGCATAGGTTCAGGACCCTCGGTAGAAGCAAGGGAATGCACCATGGCTCGATTCGTTTCGGAGGTTGTGTCAGATGACTGTGACTCTTTCTCCATCTCTGACGAGCACGTGCTCTCAGGATGGCACGTCGACAATCTGAGTGAGACTGACAGTGGGGATAATTCTTCTACATGCATACCTCGATGCATCACCCCGGAGGATTCCTCGGATACAGACTCTGCACACATTGGAGGTACCACGGATGAACCATCAGTGGAGGACAGTGCAGTGGTTCCTGAATTGACTCGTGTTCCGGATCCAGAGCCACTTCCCAACAAACCTCGGCGACGTTTGCGCATGATGGATGAGGACTCTGATGGTGTTAGGGTCAAGATTCTTCCTAACCCACGTAGGATGTTTCGACGCCATATGGAGAACACCCGCATTCTAGGCGACGATTTTTACATTCCCAATCGTGCTTCGCTGATCCTCGGCTTCCCTCAAAAACATGGAAATCGCAT